TTGAGTCTTAGTCTTGGTAGGGGGTTTGCACTGAGGGGACCCTACCATTTGCCTTGATGTTTCCTGGGCAAGCAAGTTGCTTGTTCTTGTAGTAACAGTCGGTCTGCCTATGTTGTTTTATATTTTTCCTGTAGGTCTTTCTTTCAAGAAGTATCTTCTGTTCTAGCAACTCCAGGCTGGTCTGCTTATCCTTTCAAGTGGGAATTTCCCATCTCTGGAGATCTGGATGTGGTTCAGGCTTGCACCTATAGTCTTATGTATTGCAGAGGCTCCGCAGGAAGCCTCCTTCACAGGGCACGTTGTAGCCCCATTTTAGGTATTCCAATCAGTTATAGGCAGAAGATGGACTTACAAGCTTTCTATGGTGATGCTTTTCGCTATTCCTTTCTCTCCTCCTCCAGTGTCTATTTTGTAATATAATGCAAGGAAAACTTGCATTATATAATATATAATGTAATATAATGCAATATATATAATTATATGTAATATAATGCAAGGAAAATTAAGGGAAAGAAAAGTGAGGAAGAAGGAACATAATGAATAAACAAAGAACAAATGAAACAATGAAAGCAAAAAAATTAAAAACCAGTGCAGAGTTTGGACCCAGAGAGGAATCAGCTCTTAGGGCCTCCTACCAGCCAAGGAACTCATGAGGTAGATGGAGAAGGGATAAGACGGCTGAGTGCCCAGCCCTAGATATAGGCCTTAGTGTAGTCTGTGTTCAGGGGACCCAATCCAGAAGTCGTTCATATTGGCCCTTCAGGTTGCTAGCTTTGGTGTCTGTCAGAACCAGAAGGTTCTGGGCAGGGTGTCTAATTACAAAGGTTCCTGCTAGTCTAATTCTGGCCTGGCGACACTGGATTCTGTAGATCTGGAACAGAACCTGCTTGAATCCATGTGCCAAGACAGTAAAGTGGGCACCCACCTCACACTGGCTCAGGACACATGCCTCCAAAGTTCCCGAGAGCAGAATCTGTGCTGGGGGTAGATGAGGGTGGGGGCTGCCTCACCTTTGTTATCCAGGGGAGTGTGGGGCACAAGAAGGAATCACACCTTTTTTGTAGTCCTTGTAAATCTGGGCCATCAGGCCTCCATCTGTCTGTTTCTCCAAAACTGCTTGCAGAAATTAAGATGGCCAGTAGTTTGTTCACCAGTTTCCTTCTTTCACCACCCCTACTGAACTTCTCCTCTTAGTAGGAATTCAGTCCACTTCTCTGAAATTGGACTTGTGGTGTGGCGCTGTAGGATCAGCACTGGACTGGGAACTCCAAGGTTGGCAGTTCAAACCCACCAACTGTTACTTTATATAAGTCAGAACGGACTCAACAGCACTTCACAATAATAACAATAACACTCAGCTTCTCCTCTCAGTAGGAATTCAGTAAATTTCTCTGAAATTCAAACCTTTCCTCTGAAGATCAGGGTTCTAAGATTATCCTCTGTGTCTGTTTCATTTGGTCTCCTGTACCTTTGTTGTAGAAAGTCTGAGTAGCCTGCCTGCCTAGTCTACTGTCTTGTCAGAAGTCTGGTTGTCATGAATTTTTATTAAGTAATCATTATTGTGATTCTATTTTTCTTCTTCACTGACTGAATATCTCTACAGGCATGCTTATAACTTGGGTTGTTGTAAATACTAAATTATTTTTTTAATTTGCTTGCTTTTATTGACAAAAGTAGTACACATATTCATGGGGAAACCCTCTACATTGGAGAGTCCAGCAGGCCACTCTGTCAATGGACAGTATAGATTTTAGGCTTGAGCCCTCAGTTGGATAGCCCATAGCCCAGAATTATTTTTGTTTGACTGACCCAAGTTTTAAAAAGCAGTGAATGTGTTGCTAACATTGGAAAGTGATGATAGTTCGTATAAAATTCAGGTATTTGACTTCTCGGAATCATTCCAATATCTGAGGACACTGGACCCTCTTCCTGCACAGGATCAATCAGCTGGTGCTGAAATGGTTGCTGTCTCAGGTTCCCTAGTGTCTCTGGCACTGAGGCCAAGGCCTCTTGCTATTTAGTGGCACACTTTTTTCTTTTATAGCAAAGAAACAATACTGTACACTCAATTCTCTATCAAAATGGGGAAATGAAAGATAGATGGAGAAAGCCACACAGTATCAGAAGAATGAGAAATGTCTTGTGGAGGAAACTGATATTGTTCTTATATATTTAATAGGGTGTATCTGTGTCCATTTTCTTACAGTTGTCTTCCTTCACTTATTTACATTAACCTACCTGAGTCCTAAGGAGCTCTGGTAGCTTAGTGGTTATGAATCGGGCTGCTAACCTCAAGGTCGGCAGTTCGAAACTACCAGCTGTTCCTCAGGAGAAAGATGAGGCTTTCTGCTCCCGTAAAGATTTGCAGCCTCAGAAACCCTGTGCAGGGTCACTATGAATCAGAACCGACTCCACTGTACTTAACAACAACCTGAGCCCTGGTGTGCCGCTGTGGGTTAAGACATCAAACTGCAAAGTTACTTGAACTACAAGGTTGGTGGTTCAAGCTCACCAGTCACTCCTTGGAAACCCAATACAGGGTCGCTATGGGTTGGAGCCTACTCAATGGCACTTAACAACAACAACCTGACCCCGTGGACACTTAAAATTGCAACCAGTTTATGGGCATCTTTGATATCTCTCTAAGATCTTTGCTTTTTTCCTTTTCAGATCCCT